TGCCTCCACTGTTTCTTTTACCAATCCAAGAATGGAACCGATTGCATTCGAACTTTGCCTGCACCATAGTTCATGATGATGATGAAATCTTTTTGACACTGTTAAAATTAATGACCTGCATTTTATTTTAATTTTACTGGTTGTTTTATTTTATTTATATTTATTTGTGTTGCGCACCATGACTAATTGGTGGATTTTGATTAGTTTTTTTGGCTGACAACAGCCGTGTCGACTTTCATCGCTCGATGTATCAAGAACGTAGACTGTTTATGCCCAATTCGTGGTGCACGCTGTGCAACTAATGCTGCAACCATATATGTTGAAAACAGTCGGGTCATTCGATCAATTAAGCGCCTCGTTAGTATAGCTGGTCAGTATCGCCGCCTGTCACGCGGGAGACCGGGGTTCGATTCCCTGACGGGAAGCCATTGAAAACAGTACATGGTGTCAGAAGTGGTCACTTCGGGTCAAAGCATCGTCTTGGTCTCAGGCGGAACTCCATCGATGGAAGCACTCAAGGCACCACCACGCCTGCAGCTGACCGGCAACCTCTCCGAGAAATGGTAACGCTTCAAACAAAAGTTCAACTTGTTCCTTGTGGCGACCGCGGCGAAGGACCAACCCCGAAGTGAAGCCGCAAAAACGGCACTCCTTAGTGTCGCTGGTGACGAAGCTCTCGACGTGTTCAACACGTTCAAGTTTGAAACACAGGAAGACTAGGAAGACTACAAGACTAGTCGTTGAAAAGTTCGAAGCGTATTGCTCTGAGGTAAGCAACGGAGTGCATGACCGCTGTCTGTTTCGCTCAAGGCAGAAGGAGAACCGTTCGAAAAATTTGTTCGAGACCTGAAAAGTCAAGCTGCGCCGTGCAATTTCGGAGAACAGCAGGATTCAATGATCCGCGATCCAATAGTGTTCGGCACGAATAACTCAAAGTTGCGCGAAAAAAAATGCTTCGCGAAGCAAAGCTGACGTTAGGGAAAGTAGAAGAATTTTGCAAGGTTGCGGAATCTGTGGCGCAACGAAACGAAGTTTGGAGGGCAACGGACAGCCACATTGACGCTATTGCGGGGCGTGCACCACCACCGAGAAGCACAAGCGCCCAAGATGGCAACAAGAAGTACCACTGCACGAAGTGCGATCGGTGACACAGACCAAGGCAGTGTCCTGCGTAGGGCAAGAAATGCAACATATGCCACCTGCCCAATCATTTTGCCCTGTGTTGTCAACGGATGTCCGAAATTGCTGAGGTCAGAAAAAACGACTGCGATGATGACTTCGACATCCTGGAAGTGGGCGTTGCATAAAAAAGCGAGAGACTGGATAGTGGAAGCTGAGGTCGCGGGCAAGAGTCTCCTTCAAGGTTGACACAGGGTCACGGGCCAGCCTGTTACCATTTTCGGCGTACCGGAAAATACGTGCTGCGAGATCCTTGACTGCTGCTACCTCAGTGCTACGGGCCTACAACGGAGGCGTCAAACGCACTACGGAGCGACGTCGCAGAAAATAAAAGTAGGAAATGCTTGCAGCACAGTGCAGTTCTTTGTCGTCAAGCATGACAATCAGGCAATACTAGGACTGGACGCGAGTGAAGCCTTAGGCCTTTTTCAACGCACCGTAGCTACCGTAAGCGCCTCAATAGACTACGAAGCCGTGACGAATTTTCCAGCGCCTCTTCCAGGGCCTAGGCTGCTTGAAGCAACCATACAGCATGATCCTGCAACCAACAGCGGTTCCCTGTCGTTCAACCAGCGCGGCGTATTCCCCTGTCCCTGCGCAGCCCTCTTCAAAATGAACTACGAAGGCTGGAGCGCGAGGGCATCATCGTAAAAGAGAACAATCCCACGGACTGGGTAAGTCCTTTGGTTACTGTCAAAAAAAGGACGGCAGAATTAGAATTTGCGTGGATCCCAGAAAAATCAACGAGCACATAAAAAGAGAGCACTTCCAGCTCCCAAGGCGTGAAGATATGGAAGGGGAATTGGCCGGCGCCACAATATTTAGCTGCTTGGACGCATATTCCGGCTTTCACCAGGTCCCACTTGACGAACAGACGTCCAGAACCTGCACTTTTTCAACTCCTTTCGGCAGGTACCGCTACCTTCGACTGCCCTTCGACATTTCTTCAGCGCCTGAAATTTTTCAAAGACCAATGAGTCAAGTATTTGAGGGCCTTACAGGTGTACACGTGTACATAGATGATATTTTGGTGTGGGGAGCAAACAAACAGGAGCATATCGCAGACGAATTGCTGTCTTGAAAGCAGCCGAAAAAGCTGGTTTAGACGTTCAACGCTAGAAAATGCAGGTTTGGTGTTACGGAAATTCAATTTCTTGGCGACATCATCGGACGCGAAGGCATTTCGCCAGACCCAAAACTTGCGAAAAGCTTGCTTGTTGAAATGCCAGAGCAAAAGAACAAAAATGATGTTCAGTGCATGCTCGGTGTGCTCAACTACTTCGCCAAGTATGTACATACGCGCTTTTCTGAGCGAACTGCGCTTCTGCGGGCGCTTATCAAAGCGCACTCAGCTTTTGAGTGGGCTGAAAACCACAGAAGAGAGTGGAAATGTATCACACAGGCTCTAACCACGACACCTGTCCTCGCTACTTTTGATCCCCAAAGACAGTCCAAAATAACATGCGATTCATCAAAAGACGGCATGGGTGCAGCACTCTTGCAGTGCTATACGATGGTGATGAGTGGCGCCCAGTGGCATGCGCTTTGATTGAGACTGACCATAAACCGCTCTTATCTATTGCTGCGAAGGGTATCTGTGACATGCCTCCCCGCCTTCAGAGATTTTTCCTAAGGCTTCTGAAATATGATTTCTTTGCAGTTCGTACCGGGCAAACATCTCGTCTTGGTCGAGATGCTGTCAAGATCATGCCCGGCTAGTTCCGAGGACAGCGCTGGAGCCGTGGGCGACGTGGAGGTGCACGCAGTGCAAGTTCAGGGCTATTTGGTCACAGATGCGACGCGATGGAAGCTGGAGAAGATGCGAATGATGGTTACCTGAGCACTGTCATCTCCAGCTTGTCAAGCGGTGAGAACCTGCAGGGTGAACTGAAGACGTTTTTGTCAGAGCTTTCTGTCGTGAAGGGCGTATCGCTAAAAGGAACGAAAGTGGTCATACCAAAAAGCATGCGGCTTGAAATTCTTGGAGCCCCGCCGCGGTGGTCTAGTGGCTAAGGTACTCGGCTGCTGACCCGCAGGTCGTGGGTTCGATTCCCGGTTGCGGCGGCTGCATTTCCGATGGAGGCCGAAATGTTGTAGGCCCGTGTGGTCAGATTTGGGTGCACGTTAAAGAACCCCAGGTGGTCAAAATTTCTGGAGCCCTCCACTACGGCGTCTCTCATAATCAAATGGTGGTTTTGGGACGTTAAACCCCACAAATCAATCAATCAATTGAAATTCTTGGACGTATTCATGCCGGGCACCTAGGATTGCAGAAATGCAAAGAAAGAGCACGACGTCTGGTTTTTTGGCCCGGGCTCAGCAATAACATCACACTGCTGATTCAGAGCTGCCCTACTTGTTGCAAGTTTTCTTACAAGCAACTAAAGAACCATTTCTCATGCGCCCAGCACCAGTATGCGCATGGATCCGTGTGGGCGTGGACATTTTTTCGTTTGGAGAAAGTTCATACGTCGTCGCGCTCGACGCGTTTTCAAACTTCCCGGAAGTCCAGAAGCTCCATGACACCACTGCAAGAACAACAATTGCAGCACTGAGTGCTATGTTTGCTAGGTACGGCGTGCCTCTGGTGGTATGCACGGACAACGGGCCGCAGTTTGCAAGTTATGAGTTCACAGAATTCACAAGAAAATATGTCTTCGCTCATGTCACATCAAATCCGCATTTCCCACAGTCAAATGGTCTGGCTGAGAATGAGTACAGATCGTGACACGCCTCCTCAAGAAAAGTCAAGATTGGCACGAAGACTTCTGGTTAGGCTTGTTGGCCTACCGCTCTACGCTGCTTGTGGACGGCCGATCACCTGGAGAACTCCTTCAAGGTAGGCGTCTCAGGTCGAACGTACCAGACTTTGGCGGCGTGCAGTCAACATCAGTCAAAAAGCATCATCAGAGCGACGGCGGAAAGCCCTTATCACCCTTGTGTAAAGGGGTGATCGTACGGCTTAGGGACTAACATGGTCTCCGAAAGGTATTGGGATGGGAAGAACGTCTCCGAGGTCCTACGGTGTAGAAACGGAAGATGGTCGGGTGTTTAGACGTAACAGACGGCACCTCCTTCAGACTCGTGAACCATGGACAGCGGACGTGAGTGATGATGATTGTGGTCCCTCCGAGACTAGGTCCGCTGAATGTGGGGCACATGCATCGAGTAGCTCCGTTGATGCTACACCGCGCCAGCCTACACCGCACCCTCAGGTGGCGTCCGCCGGTGGTGTTCCAGTACCAGCTACACCACACCACGGGCAATCTCCTCCCAGGCTGGCACTGGTCCCAAGAAGATCGGGTCGCACCACTAAGCCACCGCAGCGGCTTCGTTACGATGCGGCCTTTAATCAAATAACCTGAACTCATTCCTTACCCCTCAGAGGATGTATCAGGCATGCGCTCTCTGCGCTGCCTGCCTTATCATTATAGCAATGCTATCACACATTTCGCCAATATAAGAGGGTGACAATAAACCCTGGGGGCGGTCTTGTTCCTGCCATCATGTAGTGCCTCGATCCTTACTTGACTAGCATTGAAAACAGTACACAATGTAACTTTTTCAATCCGTTTTATTTGTAAACCTTGGCGCTTAGGATAAATCAATAGATAAATAAATTAATGAATAAATAAATAAATAAACCCCGTGGCATAGCTGTCGCTTCTCTGCGTACGGGGTCGGCTAGGAATGCTGGAATCACTGAAAAGAAAGAGCTCTTATGCGCAAAAATAAATGAGGCCGGCACGTTTTGGTACCGAATATCTGAAGAACACGACGAAGCGTCAGAGCTTGGCTTTATATAATGGCTGTGGGGCTTTTCAGCACTTGCATATTTCAAGAGCATTGTTTCGCTCCTCGACGAGCTCTTTGCCGGTGAGGTCGATCTTTTGTCGGGCGAAGTCCGAGATTTCCAGTCCGCCCACGATGTGCCAGCGCCGGAGGGCGTCTACCCGCACCGGAAAGCTGAATATGACGCCAGGTGGCGTGTCGTACGAGCCGTCACTCATCACAGCCATGGACACCCACTCGCCCTGCGAATAAGAGCTCTGAATACGCTTGAACAGCCGTTCGCATACCGTGGCACATCATCAGCTCGTTGACTTCAACATATATCCTACATACATGGGTGTAGCGATAGTTTTATTGGGATAATGGGGAAGGGCGAAGCGTTATTCCTCTACCTGCGAGGTGGGGGGCTCAGGGAATACCCGATACATAGAATACTGCAAGGCAAGAACATAACGCATCATTTTCTGAGTTGGTTCCCAGCTCACCTTGGGCAAATCAACGATTCCCCTCCCAATCTCAATGAAGCAGCACACGAGGCGGCGCGAGAACTCTCCAACCGCGCCTTCCCGGGGATGCGTTCTACCGGTGAAGGGGATAACCGGGAAATTCTTACAACATATAACGAGCTCACTAAACATTTCTACCTGTCTAGAAGGATTTTCCCTCCACCTCACAAAAATCTAACCCGGCCCCAAGCACTTACATTAAGGCTTTTGCAAACGCGTATGTACCCTACTTTGAAAATGTTACACATCATGTACCCTGACCTATACCCAAGTAATCTTTGTCCACATTGTGGGGAAATAGCTTCATTAGAACACATGCTCTGGCAGTGCACCGAATTCGCTCATTTATCGAACATCACCTCTGCCAGATGGGAGGCGGCAATCCGCAGCTCGTCCTTGGCAGATCAGCTCTGGGCTGTCCACCAAGCCCGCGAAGCGGCTGAGGAACTTGGCATCTCAGTCCCCACGTGGGAGCTGCCCGCAACACAGTGATCTGTGTTTTGGAGGACCAAATAAAAGTTTATCCAATCCAATAGGGGAAAGCATGCACTAGCCTCCTCTTTCTGCGGAGGACATCGCCTTTCCGGCCGGGCAGTCTGCGCGCGCTTATCTCGTGAGCGAACAAGAGGGGGAGGGGCTCCTATGGTTTCCGCGCTATCGCGGCAACGATCAGCGCACGCCTTGTGCCCCCACACCAGGCGGGAGCTTCTGAAGGCTGCGCTCTCAACACAAAAAAACAAAGAATGGTGCAAAAAGTGCACCTGGAGCGGCTGTGTTCTCTTAAGGCGCGTTTACTCTAGAGAGACACGACACCGAATTCGGTCTGCCGACTGCCTTTGGGAGTGTCTTTTGTGACACAAACAGTCCGCCGGTGGTCTCTGGAATACTCCATTCGTGTCTTCTCGAGCTCACAGCTTTTCGTTGGCCAGTTCTGTAGTCACACGCAGCGACACCGACTAAACCTGCACACCTGCACTTCATCTTCAGTTATGCTCCCTGCTCTGCCATTGTCCCCCTCCGGCTACGTGGTGCAGCCCCCGCCATAATCCACGGCGATGGGGGATGGGATGGGGTACACTTAAGGGAAGCGAAGAAAAAACTTCCGTGGGGTATGCAAGATGCCTATTCAAACGCCGTGGAAGCCTCGGAGGAGGCATTGCTATATCCCACAAGATTCCCCCTTTGTGGTCGTTTGAAGCAAGGACATGGGCAAATTTTCGCTCAGCCGCAGACCACCCGACAAAACGCCGACGACAGGTCTGCGGAAGCGTTTTGCTTGTGTTTTCAGTCGGCCGTTATGTTACACTACGATGGCATGCTGTCTTTTGAGGCGAGGTCGTCCGTGTTCTAGTGTGACCATGGGGTCTGGCGACTTCGTCAGCGGGCAACTCGTCAGCCGATGATCAGCGCCTGCCTCGTGCCTTTGTCGGGTACATGTCAATGTCGCTCTAGTGTAAACGCGCCTTCACATCAGCGTTTTATAGAGCTACGTTAGATCGTATGCTATCCTTGCTTCATAAAACATTTGAATATGTTGCTATCGCATTCATCGCTCCGCCCCTTTGACGAAATCATTACTTTTTTTTCTTTTTGCCCTCTGGCAGCAAGCTGCAGTGACCGATAAAAGGCCCTCCCCTTTTCGTTGTGGTTGATATTTCCTCTGCTGATTTAGCTCTGACCATATTTGTAAATATTCGTGTGTGTTAATTGTTCTTCTTCAATCTTTTGCGTCCAGTTTACCGGCCAGCACCTATTTTCATTTCCTTTTGGTGACTCTGTGTCGTCTTTTTGTAACTTAGTCTATACCCTGCATATGGTTAGTTACAATTTTACCACTTTCTGTATTTTATGCCCACGCTATTGAGGTACATATAATTAGGCTCCCGGCCACCCATCTATATTCATTCACAATCCTTTAAACTATTATTTCTATACGTTTGCACATTTCACATGAACATGCACTATTCTGGTTATGCCACTGTGCCGATCCTATAGGTTTATGCTATGCAGAAGTGCGCACGATAAGTATCAATATAGCCCTGTCCGGGTCATATACCTTCGACACTCCAAGTATAGATTGGTATGCCCCTTGTGATGGTTATAGTTGCCCGGACAATGGTAGTTCATTTATGGTCAAGTAGATATGATGTTTTCAGCTAATGAGTCACTCAAAGAGGCCCTGCGACACTTTTTGAGCATGGTCAGAAAACGCAGGCGATCGCTAGTCGAGGCTCGTGAGAACACGTGAGCCGAATGTTATAGCGCAGCACGCGTCCCGGAATTTACCATAAATTCTTAAACCAGCTGAAAATTGATTTCCCTCAACTCGACAAATGACGCTTCAAACCCAAAATCACTGTGTGCTGGCCCAGGTATCAGAGCACGGCACGTTCGGTACTGGGGCCGCCGCGGGCTGTTGCGACTTGTGCCCGCGTGAGTGCGCAATCGCACTGAAAAACCGGGCAATCGAGGAAAGAAAAATAGGAAAAGCGCTAAAGGTCACGAGGTGGGCGTGACGTATTTTATTCCCATGTGCCATCCCTCCCTCTCAGCTTCCAACACTTTCATCAAAACGAGAGAGAAGATAATGCAATCGCAGCATGTGACAGAGCTTGTAATTCCGCTCACACAGGACAGATTCTTTAAAAAAAAATGGCGGTAGTCAATTCGTGAGGCAATAAGCTCCTCTAGCGAATCTATTCCATCGCTACTTAGAAATGAGTTGCAGGGCCCCTTCAAGCTTCCCTATGGAAGCAGCTTAGACGGCCTGCTTGCTCAGAAGCGAAGCATTTGAGCTCGCTTTTTTACGATTCAATCGGAGAAGCTGATGCAACGCTGACAGTTTTCAAAACTGCGATATTTCTTTTCGCTACTTTCGATTCTTCCAAAGGTGCTCAAATGTTACGTGCACTTGAGGTGCCCTGGTGAAACACTTGAAGCAGTAAAGCAAGATCAAACTTGCGTGCTTCTCGCAAAAGCTATCAAACGCGACGGAATCTGATGAGGGGCCACTTGTCAGGCTCCAACATTTTTTTTTTTTTACATCCCCCCAAAAGCTCGGCAATTCGTAGAGTGTGTGGGGTGATTACGTTTTTCTAATATGTAGCGCTTCGCGCCACGTGGCGCCTTTATTTTGAAAAACAATTCCCGCGCTTCTTTCTTACGTCTGACCAATCCTCCTTTCGCGCGCAGTGACGCAAAGTCACCGGTCGGTGAGTTGACGTAGCACGCAGCTCGCTGATTGGTCTAAAGCAGTCATGACGACGGGCTACGCCTTCCCCTCCTTGTGAGAGAGAAGGGTGGTGAGGCCGCGTGAAAATTTTAAACCAACTGAAGCCGATGTTCTAACCACTGTAACGTCCTTATCACAGCACGTATTCGCAAAGTTCTTGGGGCAGCATGTTCACAAAGCAAAAGTGCGCATACTTATCTATAATTTCTAGACTTCGGGGTTCTTTACTGGCGCTAAAGCAAATCGAAGATCAGACAGAAACCTAATCACTTGTGAGTAAAAAAAATGTATGCATTGTAACGCGAGAACAAAGCGAATGTATAGGCACGTTAGACTCGGTGTAGTTCCGGACCACCAGATGGTCAACATGTACTTTTAGGCTAGTAATTGGTTCTTATTCGCAATAAAATAGCGCCGGCGAAAACAACAGACCAGATGAGTAAAAAATGTCACTCCAATACGTGTTTTTTTTTTCTAGTCTAGCCTTTTGTTTTCACTGGCGATGTTTTACTTCTAGGTGTAATTTACGAGGTTAAGTGTTCCTTCCTCTCATATTCTTTTCGAACTACTGATCGCACCAACCTCTGGAGTTCCTTGCCACCAGTCGTGCAACTGGTCTGCAGCTGCGCTGGCTGTACTCATTCCGCTGGACCGTTTGCGCGCCGCGAATATTGCATAACCGCGGTTCTGCACCGTCTGCGTGAGGTAAGAAACATACGAAGTTCCATTCAACGTGAAATATGCAGGAAACTCGGAGCAGTGATTCACCAGCGAAAACTTGAGTTCATGGGAAAACAAGTGTTATGGTTTCAAACGAGCAACCTGGTCAGCGTCCATAGCGGGAAAGGAAACCTTCACTTGTGATGCAGTGGCGATCTTTCTTCTAATCGCCCTCATATCACTCCTCCTCACTCTCACTTGGCTTTCCCGCTGCGTCGCTGTATTATGCTACAGACGGCTGGGCTAAGCTTTGCATATCCCTTCTCCCCGCACACACATCTCTCCACGCAGTCACTTCATTTTCCATCCTCTTGCTGTAACGTACTAGATATGACTATGCTATTCCTTACTCTTCCCTCTTCAAATCTCACCCCTATACTAAACACTGATATGTTATGTGTCACCCCTCCTCCGTCTCTCTCCCACGGATGACTTCTTTCTCTTCTCTCTGACTTTACTTTTCTTCTTGCTCACTAAACCACCCATGGCTACGCTACGCTATATATGGCTTTGCTATGCTTTGCCCTGTCCCCTCCCCTTCACATCTTTCTCAACCTCACATCACACCTCACCTTTGCCACTGTGCCCCTGTTCCTTGGCTCGGCACCAAACCAAGGAAAATGGACACTGCTACAGGCATAGACGAACGCTATGTCTTAAAAAACAAGTGACTCACTTTGATGAACTCTCCTTGTAAGTAGTCTTGGTCCTTAAGAATTTCAGTGACCCTGACGACCTGGTTGTTCATGCGCACAGTTGCGTGGCTGACGTCTGGGACCAGGGTGGCCGAGTGGTTGCCCCAAATGATCACGTTTTTCACGTCCGCAGCAGAGACCTTTAGCTTCTGGGCAATCTGCAGCAAAGACGAGAAGGCAAGCGTTGTTTCGACGAGGCTGTGAGGGAATGTGAGGTAATTATAGGGTTTGCTTAATCATTTTTGTTTCATCATAGTCGTACGAAGAATTAGGACTGATAATGAAGCCAAGCGCGTCACGTGCAAGTGACGTCTGCTTTTCAAAAAAAAAAAAAGTCCATAAACCGCAATGTTGGGCCATGAGTGGCACTAACGAAAGAGCATGGACGTAGTCGGTGGAGGGGGGGGGGAATTGAACCCCTCTCCCAAATTTTTCAAATTTGCTTGCGTATTATACACGCACGAGCATACAAAGAGTAAAGCTAAACGCCCCCCCCCCCCTCCTTTGAAAAATTTTCTGGCTGCTATGCTAGTCAAGAGATAGTCTAGCATATATACAGCAAGCAACTGACCGAAAATATATCCACAGCAGTGATGGTGAAGCACAACACACGTGATCAAAAAGACGCGAGTTGCGGTACTGACTGCGCAATCTTCTGTATTCCGTCAGCTCTTATTGACTTTCGCATTACAATTCACGCTCGTATTAAAGACAACGCCAAATAACCACGTTTCTCTCACTATCATTGCACGTTTTCTTCATATAAAATTTAGGAGAGAGCTTCGTTGATTTAGTATGCGACCAATTACAACTTACTCATCGCAAAATGTTCATACCTAACTATATACGTGGTATATGACCCTCATTACTTTTTACCCTCAGGACTATTGAGGGCTACATGTTCCATGCCTACCACGCTTGCCGATTGCGTAAGTACTCTGCATGCATGCTGGCACAATTCCATTCCATGGACCACGTGCGTCGGCAGGCACTCTCACTAGCTAAGCCAGAAAGCCCGAGCAGCCTCCAGGTGACGATTTTAGCTATTAGTTAAAGATTCGTAGTGTGTGAGTAAACTAAATGTAGCTCTACGCAGCAGCGTTCCGCGGAGGCTTTAGTCATGACTTGAAAACTGCTGTTGCCCAAAAGCGTCCTCAGACTTTTGGATGAAGAAATGATTATTGCGCAATCATCATATAAACGTCCTCGTCGAAGATCAAATGCAACTCCGTAGGCTTGGTATCAAGCGAATATCTGAAAGAAAATCAGGCATAATCTGTCAGAAACACGTAAATCATGTCGTACATTTTTATTGCTCTTAGGGCAAACAACGCAAAGCTGAGATGCACAACCTCTGGTTACAAATACATGAAAGTGGTATGTGCCGCTTAACCTGTTGTTTGACGCGACCAATGAAACCAACAGTCGAGCAATGAAATACACAAGAAGCTTATTTGTTTGTTTTTTAACTGTAAAGTAATGATGCTGACCTAAATTGAAAGCAAATAAAGTAGAAAAATTACGCTTTCGTCGGTAGGATACGAACCCAAAGTCTTCGAATGGCGCCTTCAATTCTCTACCAATTGAGCTGCGAAGAAGGGCGCTTATCCGTACAATCTTTGTTGCTTATTTATGTGTGCTAAACTTCTAGGAGTGCCCCGCCGCGGTGCTCTAGTGGCTCAGGTATTCGGCTGCTGACCCGCAGGTCTAGGGATCGAATCCCGGCTGCGGCGGCTGCATTTCCGATGGAGGCGGAAATGTTGTATGCCCGTGTGCTCAGATTTGGGTGCACGTTAAAGAACTCCAGGTGTCGGAATTTCCGGAGCCCTCCACTACGGCGTCTCTCATAATCTTGTGGTGGTTTCGGGACGTTAAACTCCACAAAGCAATCAATCACTTCACGGACCTGCGCTGTTGTATGCTGTCGTCGCTTGACATAATCCAAGCTAGACCGCATACAAAAATAGAAAAAACAAAGCAAGTGAGAAAAAGAGAGAGAGAAAAAAAACAAAGGGGAAATGGAGGGAAAACAAAAATAAATGGACTTAAAGAAAGAAAAAAGACAAGAAATGAAAAAAAAAAGAATTAGAGGAGCAAAAAGAGAAAACTGGAGGGAAACAAAGAATGATGCCCATCTCCAAACTTCTTTTGCACAACTATTCCTAAGCTGCCTTAATTTTCCTAGCTTGAGGAGGAGGTAAAACTTTATTAGACCAAGGGATTTGGGCACTTACGTCCCAGGGTCCCCACACGACCCCACTGCACTATGCGTTCATGAGTTCATGCAGTTCCATGACGTGGGCGGCCCGGTCAGTGGCGATTTGGGAGGAATGGGAGACCTTGCTGCGCTCCTAGCTTGACGTTTGTGTTACATTATGAGTGGTAGCGGGTATTCGTCGGAGTCAATACTAAGTTTGTTAGTAACGACTAAGCATAAGCCTTGAATCAGCTACATTCGTTAGTTCACATGTATTGTGCGTTCAAAGTGTTCGAATGTGTTCAGTGCACATGCATGTATTCTGTGCTTCGCAAATGAATTCATTACGCAGTAGTATGTGGAGCTCACCTGCAACCTTGCCCTGTTGTGGTCGGTCCGCGTCAAGGCTGAGAAGTTCTCCTTGGGGATGGACGGAGCGTACTTGGAGCAGATGAACGCGATAGTGTTCGCCGGGTTGCACACTACGAGAACCTGCGCAAATGAATTTCAAATGCGCATTCGGGCCAATTATAGTCGAATATACACATTTCATATCCTCGGTTCATCATCATTATCATCGTCACCATCAGCCGGCCTGACCGCGACGACTGCAGGGCATATACCTCGTCCTTGTTTTTTTTAATTAACCTGATTCTTAGTTTGCTGCTGTAACTTTAATCCCGAAAGCTTCCTAATGGACTTATTTCCCAATATAAACAGTGCCTCCAGCAGTGAGAGACAAAAGCAAGTTTTGTAGCTTTCCGGTTGACGCGATAACGTGAAAGCTTCTCAATTCCTTCGCAACCATGGCCTCCGAGATGGCGCGCCGACAGGTTTCGGAAACCACGGGCCAGCCATAATGCTTAGGGGCGGCGCCGTCAGAGTGTTTCCGGTGCTCATGCGCAGAAGGCACCCGCAAAAAAAAAAGGTCGCCCTATACATAACTTTACGCCTGCTCTTTCGCGTGTTTACTTTCTCTAGGAATCGAGTCTGTTACCAGTTGTCATCTTCCTTTCTTGCTACACGTCCTGGCCATTCCCATTTCTTCTTCATTTTAAAGTGTTCTTACAACGTCTTTTTCTGACCCACTAAGCTATTTTTTGTCTCCTAACGTTCCACCTACCATCTTACTATCCATGTCTCCCTGCATTGTCCACGGTTTAGGTTGAACCTCTTTCATAAACCACCAGCTTTCTGCCTCTTAGGAAAGAACTTGTAAGATGCATCCACTACAGGCTTGGTGACATAAAGCTACACTTTTCTTTTCGATGAGTGAAATACTCGCTGTTTTTTTTTATATTGGCACTGAGATGAACAGAAGTGTAGAAGTAATAACATGCCAAACAGACGGAGCTACATTCAACTCCTCACAGCTTGAAAAATTCAAAGCCCACATCCGTCGCTTGGAACAAAGACTTCAGTGATATACCAATTGAAGCTTTCTAGGATGACGGTGCAAAAGAGGATGCACCGTAAAACTGCACAAAACTTGCGCATGCATGTGTAAAGGCGTGAAAAGTTAATTGTCAATATCAATGCGTCATGAGCACGAGAAGATCATTTTTTGCGTCGCATGTTGGCGCTCCACCAGCGCAGGACGCAGCCGGCCGCTTTTACCATCTGAGGATGCATGCAAGACTTCCGCCTTAACAGTAAAAACAATGAAGACAGACAGGGAAAACACATCATGAGTAAGCGACCTTACACAGCAGAGTAACAAACTGGGAAACTTTACATTGGATGACCCACCGATCTTCAAACGCGCTATACGACAACGTAGTGGTAAATCAACACAGAAGATAACACGAAAACCAGGCAAAAGAAGCATGAAGAATTTATTCATGATCATCACTTGCTAAATAAAGCATTGATTCATTCAATCTGGCTGTTGGTTCGATAAATGCGAGGCTATTTTAGAATATATATCTTCACATAGAAAAGACAGAATGTATATATAGTCTGAAAGATTAAATATGCGCTAGCTGTCAATAGTTGCAACCACTGCGCTTCAACGACCCGCTAATATCCACCAGAGTCATTGAAGAACTCTCAATTTGCCACAAATTTTCACTAGATGCCTAAAAAAAAGACGCATGCTTTTATAGCGGTAGCATATCTTACACCGGAAGCAGCAAATGCGTTAGTTGCCGTTGAATTTATAGCTTCAAGGCCTCATTCGACACTCAATTTCACTCTATTAGGAGCTTCCCCAATTTTCTTGAAGTCTGAAGACGTAATAAACCTTTACGGGTCCACTTATTCACGTTTCGCAGCCGTTTCGCAGCCGTTTCGCAGCCACTCATTCACGTTCCAACGCATGCCGTATGTAATTGCAGCACCTGGGCCATGCTGATGGATGGATGGATGGATGGATGGATGGATGGATGGATGGATGGATGGATGGAATGGATGGAGGATGGATGGATGGGATGGATGGATGGATGGATGGATGGATGGATGATGGATGGATGGATGGATGGATGGATGGATGGAGGATGGATGGATGGATGGATGGATGGATGGATGGATGGATGGATGGATGGATGGATGGATGGATGGATGGATGGATGGATGGATGGATGGAGGATGGATGGATGGATGGAGGATGGATGGATGGATGGATGGATGATGGATGGATGGATGGATGGATGATGGATGGATGGATGGATGGATGGATGGATGGATGGATGGATGGATGGATGGATGGATGGATGGATGGATGGATGAGGATGGATGGATGGATGGATGGATGGATGGATGATGGATGGATGGATGGATGGATGTGGATGGATGGATGGGGATGGATGGATGGCTGATGGATGGATGGATGGATGGATGGATGGATGATGGATGGATGGATGGATGGTGGATGGATGGATGGATGGATGGATGGATGGATGGATGGATGGATGGATGGATGGATGGATGGATGGATGGATGGATGGATGGATGGATGGATGGATGATGGATGGATGGATGGATGGATGGATGGATGGATGGATGGATGGATGGATGGATGGATGGATGGGTATGGCTGTACCCTTTAGATCGGGCGGTGGCTAGCGCCACCAAGCCGTAATACCTAGTGAACTAAAAACTATATTTATTTTTTGTCCTTAAAGAGTGAGTTTGCGGATTCGTACTTTGCAGTGGAGAGTTTAATTTTCACTCGTGCCTTGACTTTAGCCACCAATCAGATAACCTCCTTCTAGTTAAGTCTACCCGCTTAAAGTTTATTTTGCCCTCCCGGTCCCTTAACCCCAGCGCTTTGAAAAACTCTGCGCCATCATCCTGAACTATAGGGTGAAGCCCTTTACAGAACATTATCAAGTGTTCGGCAGTTTCTTCTTCCTCTCCACACGCACTGCATACTGTGTCTACCCCTTCGTATTTGGCCCGATATGTCTTGGTTCGCAGTACTCCCGTCCTGGCCTCAAACAGTAGAGAACTACCCCGAGTATTATCATAAATCCTTTCCTTGGCAATTTCCTGCTTAAAGGTTCGATAGATCTCTAGTGCGGACTTCTTAATCATGCCCATTTTTCACATGTCAGTCTCCGTTTCCTTCACTTTCTTCTTAACCGATAGTTCTTTTTGGTTTGGCCACCTGCTGTTTTCTAAGTATTTACCGGTCAACTTCCTGGTTCGCTTCCTCCATTTTGTATCGACATTCTTCATGTACAAGTAGCTGAAAACCTTCCTAGCCCAACGCTCTTCCCCTATTTCTCTCAATCGCTTCTCAAATTTTATCTTGCTGCTAGCTTCCCTGCCCTCAAATGATGTGCATCCCATATCACCTTGTACTCCCCGATTTGGTGTATTCCCGTGAGCTCCTAAAGGAAGCCTACCTATTCCACGTTGCTTAATTTCTAATCTTGCTTGAACTTCTGATCTCATGCACAAGACCACATTGCCGAACGTCAGCCCAAGAACCACGCGTGGATGAGGGCGCCCCTGGTGGTTGCTCCTGTCCCTATATCAAACTTTCGCCGAGGCTTCATGATCATAAAAACAGTACACGTATCGAAGGACCCTGGTGATGTCATCAAAAGACAACAGCCAGGAAAGCGCTTGCTGCGTGGCCTATCACTCACCTTGACGGTCTTCTTGGCGTACAGGTTGATGCAGTTCCCGTGGCTCTCGTAGATCTTGGCGTTTGGAGCTAAGAGGTCCTTGCGCGTGGTGCCTGCTTTAGTGGGACACGAGGCCAACAGGACGGCAGCGTCGATGCCCGTGAAGGCCTTCTTCTCGTCGTCGGTGGCCACCACCTCTGCAATTGTGGAGGGAAACATAGCAGATATTACAAAAAATATGTAGCATCACACAATCTATCAACGAATGACTCATTATGCACGCCCACGCCACTGCAGCCCGAGTGCTGGTACGTGCACCAAGTCAAAGATGAAGAAAATAATATAGTCGGTCTAGAGCAGACAATAACTACGAAGAGAAGGAAAACATAAAACAAAAAAGGTAGCATGTGATGAAACAACACTACAAACAAAAGTAGAATGATTATAAGGACAGTTCAAATACGAGAAAGCGCAGCGAAGATATTAAATATAATAATAATAATAATAATAATAATAATAATAATAATAATAATAATAATAATAATAATAATAATAATAATAATAATAATAATAATAACAACAGCAATGCCCACATCCTGCTATTCTGCGTCCTTCCAGGAATTCAAGGACGCACGCCTTTCCACTCTGCTCTACACCGAAGACCGCAGTAATCCTTACGTCGGCTCCCCAGTTCTTGTCGTAGCAGCACGGTTCTATCGTTTCATCAACCTGTTCTTTGATGAAAGTCATCATGCGACACAGTTCGCTGGTGCATTACGTGTCACACAGACCCGATGAACCCAAATTCTGGAGTCGTTAACTACTTATTGCGAATCAATGTTCCCAGCAGGATGAAAGCATTTCCTGCCATGTCCATTATTAACTTGTATCAGCTAACTCGATCTCATACATGCAAATCTGTCTGTTTAATCGCACCATATTTTTCACTGCCATTCTCGAGGAAGCTTTTATTATCTTGTTGCTCATTTCGCTGCTTTAATTGGTTGGCTATAGTCGTATTGAAACGTTCAGTATGCCGTGCCACTAAATTCCATATGCTAGCCTATGGAATCCATTTGTTTTCCGTAATAATCTTACGGAAACGTTCGGAACTATTGGAATGGCATACGGGACGTTTCAATAGCCCATGCTTATTACATAACTTGCCTTATCCCATTTGAGCATTTTATTCTGGAATTCTATGTGCATCCGCATGGTACTCCCTTGGTTATGGTCATCGGCTGTGGACTCAGTGACGTGGGCCCGACCCCGGCTATGGCGGTAGCACTTCGATGGTTACGACGTGCTGGAAGCCGTGAGCTTCGGCGCGAGTTACTGTTAGAAACTTCCATAGCAATCTATGCGGCATTTCACAAAGCCTAATTCACTTTATGTCGTTAGAACCGATAGACCAACTAAAATGTGTCAACACGTATCTCCTCTTTCAACTCACTGCTGTCTTAGATCTGTTATCGGTGTACGCATGCGATTTCGTACTGAGCCGCTGGTAGCTTGTCCTGTTTTTTGAGCTTCGCTCTAGAGGACAATGAACGTATGGAGGACAACAATGTACGTGGAATATCGCAGGGAGAGGACAGTTTGCTACTTTTGCAATGCAGAAACGTTTTGTACGCATGGAACAATTGGTCAGACAAGAGGCACCAGAAGCAGCGAACACTTTGAATAAATTTAAAATTCGTGTTTAAGTTACAAACTTGCAGAGTAGGTGAAAAATTGCAAAAACATAATGAGCGCGCGTTTTCAGTGAAGTATACTTCACGTGCTCATTTTTATCCCTTGCTTGCAGAATGCTGCAGGGAAGAGTGAATCGTGACTGCGCGTGAGCGAGTATTCGCATAATACTTCGCCAAGGCCGGTCTTGTACTACAAAACAATATTAGGGGCAAAGCAAAATGGTCCTCAGTGTTTTGCGATCGTGTAGCCAGGAGGTGACACAGTTGGCCCGTGCCCTCCCTCCTTGGAGAATATCTTTTCGCCTTGCCATACAGAGTGGAAAATTGCCATTTCAGGGAGCATTTCAGAGACCATTTCAACATCACGTAATATATAGCCACATGACTAAAATCACGTGCATCCCGTGAAAGCTAGACACGTAACTATAATCACTTAACACTAGGTATCTGAGCAAGAGGCTAATATCACGTAAGAACGCTCGCCCGTAATATCACGGAACGCCCGTAATATCACGTAAGAACGCTCGCACGACTAAAATCACGTAACATCGCGAGAGAGCACACACGTTTCTGATGGCACGTAAGGTCACGTAACTAAAATGAAAATATCGCTTAACAACTAGTCAACGAACCAGAATCGCGTAACATTATGTAACCACTAGTCACGCAACTGTGCAACTAAAAATTCCGTAATATCACGTAAGAACTTGACATGACTGAAATCACGTAACATCGCATATCAACTATTCACGTGACATACTGCCGCTAAAAACAGGTAACAGTGAGTCACGTGACATGTTCCTTCCAAAACCACATTACAACTAGTAACATCACATGTTCCCGACAAAACCACGTGTCCCGGCCGTGCGTCTGTAGGGAACCGACCGAAGCCAGCCAAGCACAGCTAAGTGTCGTCAGACGAATAGCAAATGCTTATTATCTGTAGTAAAACCTTGGCACAGTAGCAACACTTCGCCTGGTCGAATGCACTCAAACGTCGTTATATTGATTGCGGATATAACGAAATATCGGTTACAGCGAAGAGAATGAAAGTAGTGTTGCGCGTGCGTGCAAGACTACTTTCATTTATTTTCATTTTTCGTTTAGGTTTTTCTTTTGTTTTATATTTTCATTTTATTTTCAAAGGACTTAGTGTTATGATTGTAAATTTATAACAAATTTTTGGATATAACAAACTCATTTTCGTATTTTTTACGCAGTACAGCACTGTGAAAAGGCTTTGCAGGAGTTGGATTATACAGTGCGGAGAAGAACACGGCAGACAAAATATAGAAGAGAAGTAACAACATAAACCGTTTGTAATTGTAAGAGTAAATGAATTAGGCTTTCGTTATACATGATAATTTTCAAAGAGAACGCACGAATAATCATTCAAGGGAGTGATCTAATATGACCGGGTAATAAATTATATATTTCTATAGTGCGGGGAAAGTTACAACACATAAAGTTCCTGAAATTGCAAAGCTTGGCAAAGAACAAAAAAAGCTGCGTTTGAAATACGATAAGAATAAACAAAAATATTGAGACCAATAGAAGGGATGTATTGCCAGCAATTATTATCTGCCAAAATTCAGAAGGCTTATACCTTTCAGCAGTGGGAAAGCGCAGTCCTGGAGCTCCATGGCGATACCACTGAGGACTCCCATCAATTGCGTGATGTCCAGGAGGTGCAGGATCACAGGCTGCGAAATAAGAGGAAATGTCGACTGCTAGAGAGACAAGATGAGAAATCAACGCTTCACACTTGTACCTCATATGGGGTGATCACTGGACCTTTATTCAATAAGGTCGGTAGGACCTTCGTATTGACTCGGACGATCGTGAGCGGAGGAAAAGTACAGTGACAATTTCTTAAAAAACAGTCTTTTTTTAAACTCACACGCAAAAAAAAATCAGCGATGATCAACGACATTGTTTAGTGCGATTTCTGAGGCAGCCGTTTAAGTATTTGGATATTGCGACAAGTTAAGGCAGACAATATACTTGTATATAGACCTATATATAGTCTTGTATATAGACTTGTATATAGACTTGTATGAATGTAAAGTTCCATACCGCTATTTTCCGCAACTCTCTATACATGGAACACATGTCTACCGTTCCTTCATTGTAATGATGAAAGCTTTGTGACTGGAGCAGTGAGTAGAGATACGTTGGGCTTGCTGCACCAATGCCTTGTTCTTAAAGACGAAGTCTATGAAGTGTTTCGCGGGGTGGGATCAGTTACGATGGAGAGGATATATGTTCTTGTGCAGGCAGTATGTAAGCAGTATGTAGTCTTGTGAACTCTTGTGCTGTATGTAATCAATCCTTGTTTGTTTTTACGTTTATATTAAGGTCACCCATAATTCCACAATTAACATTGCTGTGAGTCAATCCGCAGTTAACGCGAGGTGCATGAAGTATGCGACGTCGGTGGGAAACGCAGTGGGGCGAGAAGTGCGCAGCCACTACCAGCTAGCTGTTATCTAACTTTGCCTACCAAAACCCTGTGGTACATAGATCGTTTTCCTTCAACTTTCACGCCTGCTGCGCATGGCACACGTTTCATGGTACACCGCACACAGATTGCCAAATTCTTGTGGCACGCACTCGTTCAGCGGTTACGCCACTGACGGTGAGTCTGCCTAAGGCAGAAATGGCCTAGCCACGCCCTAAAAAGTTCACACCATCTTCCTAAAAGAAAACCGAATAGGATGCAAAGCAGTAGCGTTGTGCACGTGCGGTATGACGGGTTAAATGGCTCTAACGTGGGTGCTGCGGTTAGCGCTGGTGTAGATGGGAAGTCGGTGGTGTATAACGAGTGGCGGTCAAGGTAGTGGAGCGAGCGGCTGTAGCGGCAGGTGTTGCGGGCGATGGACGAAGCAGCAGCTGCGGGCGCTGCGCCGAGTGCGCGGCAAGCTAAAAGAGAGAGTGACGTCAGCGCACACTACGAGGGTATCGTGATGTCAACACGTAGCTGCGGCTTAACTGCTTGGCACCGATACAACACCTGTGGCGAGAGGAGTGCGCTGCGGCGCGTTCGTACGGACGCACGGAGAGACAGCGTTACACAGGCTGTAAGGTTCGGAAGGAAGGACGCTGCTGGATACGGAAACAAACATGTTTATGGCACTATTTACACATATTTACAGAAAAGAAAGGTTAGGGGTTTCACAACCCACGAGCGTGGTGGTTGAACGTTACATAGTTCAGAGCACCATCCAGCACTCTGCGGCGTCGTTTTATGCACTGTCGGGCTCCTCCTCTCCGAGTGGAACATCAATCACACACACACAACAGGTGAGGGGGATGAGCATGCACGGTCCACGTGAACGTCCAATTTTGAGTTGTGAACACTGCATTGCAAGGTGGCGCCAGCAGGGCTCTTCCTCGTCGTGTGTGTGCCGTTAGTCGAGAGTTCCCACGATCCTGGCAACATACTTCAAAGGGTCCGCCGCACAGCTCGCCCAATTAGCAGGGCGATCTGCGGTGGCCACCACGGTGTCTTCCAGGAAGACGCCGTCCCTGTTGTCCTCTTTCGTCGTGGCGTCTCGGCGACACGACGTCTCATCCTCTGGCCAGCAGGGACAATGCCTGGCGGGCATAGGCAGTCGGCCAGTCGGCTACTTGACTGACGATTAAAGAAGCGCCGCTCCGCCGTCAGCTCTGGCGCCGGTCACGCCAGCTTCCCCGTCGCCCGATGAGTCGCCGAGGCCATCAGTCACCGCTTCTGCTCGAAGAGACGACAAAAGGGTCCGCATTTGAAAGACGGGAACTCGCCTTTGCTTGCCGCCTGGTCTGGATAATTGCTCAAATCTTCGACAGCGTCTGTCAGACTGGGCGCCGAAGGGATTTAGAGCCTCCCCACTGGACCGGCTTACGCACAATGGCGTCTGCCCAGACGAATTTCCAGGCGAAACTTAACAAGGCTAGTCGAAGAGCTGCTTCGCATCTAGTAATTCACCGACAATTATGCTATCACCCTGTGCGAATTCTGGGCACCACTTCGTGTTGGAGCTAGCTGACATTGTAATATTCATTGCCACAGAAACGGCCGGGTCTCGAGTGCTACGTGCACCACTCCTCGTATTGGGGGTGCCATGAACCAAGCATACTGCCGAAAGCCCCGTTACCGCGAGCGAAGCCAGTCGCAATGCACGTGTTGGCTCGCAAAATCGACCGTCTGCGTTCGCTTTCTTTCGTGCTCGTTCGCTCAATTGGTAACGCCGCCGGTGCCGGCCAACAATGGCGATGCCGCCGCTTACCCTGCTACCTAATGAGTGGTTCTGTGAGTAGTATTGTGCACGGTGCAGTGAAGAGATACACGTACAGAGAAATCAAGGTGATTCAAACGCTTTGTTGCAAACGTGTTTGACTGAAATGACCACGTCCACTACTTGTGAGGAGAGTATCGTCATCGCACTTTCAGCCTCAGCCTTTGCCACATGAAACTTGTAGAACTTCTAGCACTATTGAGTACTGGAACAAACTTCTCGTACACTCTAGTGATGATGAACACTCAAATGATGGAGTGTGCTGTGGATTAGTACACTCTAGTTGTAGTGTATTGAAGCTTCTAGTACGCAATTGTAATGATGTTATTAGCGATGTTATTAATATCAATGATGTTAAAGCGATGTTATTACTCGGCACGTCTTTCGATATAACAATAACATTTCCGGCAGTACACTCTAGTTGTGTGTATTGAAGCTTCTAGTACACAATTGTAATGATGTTATTAGCGATGTTATTATTATTAATGATGTTAAAGCGATATTATTACTCGGCATGTCTTTCGATATACCAATAGCATTTCCGGCACTTAAGAAAAGTGAGCTGAAGAAGGCAGACCACAAACCAGCTGCAGATTGATCTGAAAGTTTAGCTCACTTTGCATTTCCTACCTAGGTTGAACATTATAGTACAGAAACACCTTCCTTAGAAGGGCTTATGGACGAAGTCACTCGGTTGGTAAAACATGCGTGAATAAAAATCTGAGGAACAACACAGTACTAAATTCAAGGTATTAGAAAGATAATCTTGCAGACAATGAAGACGCAGACGGCAATTCGTGTTCTGGTTGGTCTTTCCAACACGTGTACTTTCCTCGACAAACCATGCGGCTGTGCTTTGGTCGACAAACCAAGCGACCCGTTTATAAGCGTGATATGGAAATTAATTTCTGCGGTATACTCCAGCTCTGAAGAATAGAGTATGTATCTTACCTGGTCATAGCCGAACACGTCGCCCTTGGCTATGAGAGGCACCAGAGAATAAGCAATCTGTCCCGCACCTCCGGTGATGAGCACCCTGACTGGATCCTTGAACTGCACAGAGGTGCGATCGTGCAAACAACTTACACAGCGCAGAGTCTTCATGTAGTTTCGTTTCTTTAATATACTATCGGCTTTCTCGATCGCCTTTTTTCATTTACCATGTCGGGCCGATGGGCACTAATCGGCAGCACGCACAGTGGAAGCAGGTGCCAGGATAACACACACATCATTAAATACCCTTGATCCTGGATCAAGGGGCTTTACACAGCATTGCCCATGCGCGTGACGAGCAGCAGCGTTGGAAAAAGCCGCAGTGGGCGAGGGAGAAAGTGGCTAGCTGATAAGAAGGGGGGTGAGACGGGACCACAATCATTTTGGGGGGCAGGGCGATGAGATGCGATGAATGTAGCGCGACGTACTGGGGTTTTCCTCCACGAGTGCTGAAGAGCAGAGGCCACACTGCTTTGGGACATCCGCTAAGGCGACTCTGGCACGTATTCTACTGCGAGTTGAGTGTGAGTTTCGTTTGCTCTCTTGCCGTTATATTTCGAGCCGTATGTTTCGTTGACCACCAGTATGCAGATATTGTTCGTTCCGTTCGTAGCCTTGTATGCGTTTGTGCAGTGTTTTGCCGGCTTCTGAAGGCTTAGCGAGATTATTTTGAATTGTAAATTAAAAGCTGTTCTTGTTCTCAGCGTTGAAGGCTCGTGTCGTGTGAATTGTGGCTCAACAAAAGCTGGAGGTCCCCGCCTCCGCTCAGGGACGTCACCATGAGCGAAGGGGGGTCCTGCTCAGGGAGATCACCCTGAGCGGAAGCGGGGCCTTGAACCTTTGTTCATGATTATGCATACGAATATTGAAGCGTTTTCAATACACCAATCTCACCACGAGTTGCGCTACGGCACTGCTGCCGCAGTGCGCCGCCCAGCGAGAAATGACCACGTAAGGTGACCGCTCCTCTGAATACGAGACCAGTGCGTGGTGCGAATGCAGTCCGCCGTTTCGGGTGTGCATCATTACTTGCGCGAATAAGTGCCACTAGGCTTTTGGAGCAAGCTAATCGTACCTCGGCAATGTCTTTCGGATCTGCTATGTGGGGACGGCGGAGTTTTCGGTAATAGGGATCATGAGGTAAGCGAGGTGAGAAAAAGGTTTCTCGACTCGATAGAGACCAAGCTCAGGTGCGAGTGAGTTTGAAAACTCCTTAGTCGAGTCCCTAAGAGCATGGTTGCGCTTCAGGACAAGATCGCCCTGCGCTAAATTAAATCTCCTGAGCCGTGGTTGACGCCAAACTTTGCCTTGCTTTACAGAAAGCTCGACAAAGCCGATCCTGAAATGTCGATGTGCGACCAGAACAGTCTGTCTGCATTTCTTTCTCTCCAAGCTAACAATGAAAGACACTAGTCACCGGATTTGCCACCTCCTTGCGGAAATTCAGGATGGTGGGCGAACAAGCAATCGAGTGAATCTCGGATGTTCGGATTGCAAACTCCAGTAAATTCCCTTTGACTTTCGGCAGAGGCCGTCAACACCTGTTGAGCGTACGACTGATGCGCTCTGTCAAGTTAGCCTGGTGGTGGTAGCGCGAAGTGGTTGAGTGGTCAATTCCAAGGGAACGCCACGTAACACCAAACTTCCGAGCGGTGAAATAAAAAGCGTTGTCCGTGAGAACCATTTCTGGAGAGCCGAACCGGCAAACCACTTTCTGCAGCCTCTGGAGCACCACTCGGGCTGTCACGCCCTCCCCCCGAAGAGAAAGCTGTTCCACACACTCCGAAAAATGATCCACAACTACCATGAAATGAACCCCTGCTTACTTTTAGGAAAATGTCCCTATATAGGTCTCAGGCAGCAGCTTTGCATAGACGCTCACTTTTATTTATTCTTTTAGTACCCGCGGTGTTTGACTTCCAAATACCACGATATGCTTATGAGGCACAACGTAGTGGAAGGCTACGAAAATTTCTACCATCTGGTGTTCTTTAAGGTGCACTGACATCGCACGGTACATGAGCCTCTAGTGCTTTGTCTTCGTTCGAAGAGTGACCACGTAGGCCAGGACAGGACCCACGACCATCGGATCAGCCACTGAGTACCTTAACCGCTATGCACCACCACGGCAGACCACGGACGCTCACTGACAGTCTGTTTAATGAGGCTGGGCGGCAAGATCGCAATAGCGGGAAACGTGGCTCATCATGCCGGACCACATCACCCTCTTGCTCAGTTTTGCGAAGGCTTTGGAGGCACTAAAGTAGCCAGCCATGGGTTCATCGTGAGAAGATTGTAATAGTGCATCTCTCAGACCTTTGGATATTACCAGTGATGTAGCCTGCGAATGCGATACCAGGCCCTGCACCAATGCGGTACCCACCCCTGCACCAATATTTTAGTCATTGCATATAGAGCACAAAATGATACTCGACCACATCTACCTGCCTGGCCTCCACTTCAAATCATAATGCTGCTCCCCCCTCCGCCCCTCCCGAAAAAAAATTCTGCCTATGCCCTTGGGCATAATAAGATAAAAAACCAAATCAATGGACCCGCCACCTTGGGCTTTGTGCTTCAGCAAAACTCATTATGAACCTTCAAATATGAATCCGTCGGGGATGCGAGGACACACGCACCTTCCCGCCAAGGATCCGTGCCCGCTGCTGAACAAAGAACGTATAACAGGGCTTCGTCTCCCTGAGACCATCGCACAATTTGGGACAAAACAAAATGGCCATAAGTCGTCAATAGCTTTTGTCTACTGAAAGCGATTACCATGCTACCAAAGGGGAGAGCCTCTGTCGCGCCTACTCAGGACTACAGCACTGCCGCTCGGGTCGACGTCACGGATTTTCTCTCGGCATCGTAGCCTTAGAAAAAGCGCACCCATTGGATCGCTTCGCGGTGTGATGTTAGCCCGTATAAAAGCTAAGGTTTGTCTGATTGCAGAATAATAAGGTTTAAACCCTCCTTGATGCAGACTCGCCCTTTTTAACGCCGCTCGGCGGCGAGACGCCGTTTCGCTCTCAACGCTTTGCTTGTTCAAAAAGCACCGATAGTGGTTGTCGCACCACATAAAGATTCCCTGCAGACACGTTGCTTGAGACAGTGCATCTGCTACCACGCTGGTGCTCCCCTTAAAGGTCCCCTAAACCATGGAGTTTCCTGAATACACTAGAGGAAACTTTGGCGCTATAGAGTATATGGGAGCTGCAACGCATGGCGCTTCAGCGAGCATGGGAATTATGGTTACTACATGGATTTACCTAGTCTTCGTACTTTGCGTTCCTTCTAGCACCGCGTGGCTTGAAGCTGCTTTGTCACGAAACAACAATGTCCGGCAGTTACACTTCACTACCGTAATCGTTTAGGCTTACCACTTCAAATCGGGTCACGAAGTTCAAAAGGGTTCTTTTTTTTCCTTCAAAACAAAACTGACACGCTGAAATAAACCTAAAATGTCACTTCATCAAAGAGGGGCGTAGAACTAACTAAGTAGTTAACTAAGCATGTACCAACTTGCCCAACAAGCAACTCTCCAGAAGTTAAAAGGGTCTTTATTTTTATACGAAAATGTGCCAGAAGATGGTGCCATCATTTTCTATGAAAATAGAGAAATACTTCTCCGACAGAGTGCACTGCCCTGAACTTTTGCAGTGGACACACTAGGCGTGGAAGATATAGTCACTAATCTTTTAAGGGATATCTATCAAGGTAACAAGGTAGTTATAAAGTGGGAAAAACAGGTATCCAAGCCTGCAGAGGTAAAACGGGGGCTTAAGCAGGGGCGTCCCCTGTCACCCTTATTATTCATCATGTACCTACAGGGATTAGAGGCCAAATTAGAAGGAAAAGGACTGGGCTTCAACCTCCCTTTTGTCAAACAAGGAAAACTCATTGAACATGCACTACAGGCATTGATGTAGGCAGATGATATAGCGCTAATGGCCGACAACAAGGAAGATTTTCAAAGATTGGTGGACATCTGCGGTAACGAGGGAGATAGGTTAGATTTCAGATTCAGCAAGGAAAAATCAGCAGTCATGATTTTTAATGACAATGAAGGTCACGCTAGAATACAAGAGGTCACGCTAGAGATAACAGATAAATACAAATATCTGGGCGTATGGATAAGCAATGGGGCCGAGTACCTAATGGAACACGAAATATACGTGACGACTAAAGGTAACGGGAATGCAGCGGTAATGAAAAACAGGGCACTGTGGCATTACAATAGGTATGTTGTTGTGAGAGGAATATGGAAAAGGGTCATGGTTCCTGGACTGACGTTCGGCAATGCGGTTTTGTGCATGAGATCAGAAGTTCAAGCAAGATTAGAATTTAAGCAACGTGGAATAGGTAGGCTTGCCTTAGGAGCTCACGGGAATACACCAAATCAGGGAGTACAAGGTGATATGGGATGGACATCATTTGAGGGCAGGGAAGCTCGCAGCAAGATAAAATTTGAGAAGCGATTGAGAAAAATGGGGGAGGAGCGTTGGGCTAGGAAGGTACATTCAGCTACTTGTACATGAAGAATGTCGATACAAAATGGAGGAAGCGAACCAGAAAATTGACTGGTAAATACTTAGAAAACAGCGCGGGGCCAGACTAAAAAGAATTATCGGTGAAGGAAGCTGAGACCAATATGTGGAGAATTGGCATGATTAAGAAGTCCACACTAGAGATCTATCGAACATTTAAGCAGGAAATTGCCAAGGAAAGGATCTATGATAATACTCGGAGTAGTTCTCCACTGTTTGAGACCAGGACGGAAGTACTGCAAACCAAGACATATCGGGCCAAATACGAAGGGGTAGACACGGTGTGCAGTGCGTGTGGAGAGGAAGAAGAAACTGCCGAACACTTGATATTGTTCTGTAAAGGGCTTCACCTCATAGTTCAGGATGATGGCGCTGAGTTTTTTCAAAGCACTGGGGTCTATAGAAACAGGGAGGGCAAAATAGACTTTAAGCGGGTAGAATTAACTAGAAGGAGGTTATCTGATTGGTGCTCAAAGTCAAGGCACGAGTAAAAATTAAACCCTTCACTGCAAAGTACGAATCCTCAAGCTCACCATTAAAAAAAAATATAAATCTAATTGTTGATTCACTAAGTATTACAGCTTGGTGGTGCTAGCCACCACCCCATCAAAAGGGTACAGCCGTATCAATCCATCCATCCATTCAGCGTAGCTTGGCCACAGCTCGCGTGCTTTGTTTTTTTGCGTTTGGAGCACCTACATGTCCAGGAGTATTCCGAATTCTACAGCGTCTTGGAGGAAACACGTGCCGGCTCAATGAATCGTCATGGGCTCAACGTTGCGTCATAGAAAAGCCTTCAGAGTGTGTCTTAGAATATTTACCATGGTGGGCGTCGTGAAACCGGTAGAGCCACGTGTATTTTCCTGTGACATGGCTTCCAATGGACAGTACCACCTGCGACACTTGTGCTGGCCAAGGTGAACCCTGTATGAGGAGGGCAGAGCGGTGGTGGTGGTGGTGATGATGATTATGGCCTATATGTATGGCTCACACCCACTTTGAGAGATTGGTCAATAAACGAATAATTAGATGGAAGTTATCACATATTAATGCTATAAATAATTAATTAGAGTGGTTCGAAGAAACTAATTGTAATAATTTAGAGATTCGTGATCGAAACCGCCTTGATTAATTAAAGAATTTTTGCTACAGTTGAACAGAGATCTCGGTGACAACGACCTAATGAGGAGGCTCCAAGGATAGGGACCGGAGAACGTGGTCATCAATACAGATGGACAAGATGATGGGTGGTCATGATGATAACGAAACGAGGTAAGCATTCCGAAACTGAGGATGAGAGAATGATCGGTGTGGTATGGTAGGGAAAAACTATTTAGGTGCGTCGGGGCGTGAACTAGCATGTAGCGGGCCGCTCCCACCTCGGAACAGATAGGCCTAACCTCTACGCCACATCGTGGGCCCGTTGGACTACCCATGGCTGCGTTCCCGTACTGCGTAGCGCAGCATCCCACTTGGACGATGTAGCGTTTTCAACACGTAACGCAGGGCTTCGTCAGAGCATATGATCTAAGCTGGCAAAGTCGGAGTAGAGCGCACATCTGTTTCATGTCAGAATTTCTTGACAATCAGTGGCTGTAGAAAACGCACTTCTGAGTAGATTATCGAATCGAAAAGTGAGAATGAAATTAAACTGGACAGTGAAGCATGCTGCGTGACGATGAATCGAGATAAAAACAATGCTCAGTTGAGGTTCAAATTGACTAAATAAACACAGAAACGATTGCTTGTCGACTCATTGATTTGATTGATATGTGGGGCTAACGTCCCAAAACCACCATATGATTATGAGAGACGCCGTAGTGTAGGGCTTCGGAAATTTCGACCACCTGGGGTTCTTTAACGTGCACTTAAATCTGAACACATGGGCATACAACATTTCCGCCTTTATCAGAAGTGCAGACGCCGCAGCCGGGATTCGATCCCGTGACCTGCGGGTCAGCAGCCGAGCACCTTAGCCACTAGACCACCACGGCGGGGCGTTTGTTTGTGGACTCGTGATTATAATGTTGCGTGAAGGGGGGGGGGGGGGGGCTTCACGCTAGGCGGGAACAGCAAAATTACCCGGTCACTCTGGGTCACACTCACTGAGAAGCATTTACCAATAATTCGTGAGTTTTACGTATACATAAACAACTTAAAATAGGGCCATATACTAAGCAGAGTTCGTCAGATTAAAGAAAAAATTATGTGCAAAACATTTAATGTACAAAATAGAACTCTTATTACAAAAACAGAAAATAAGAAGATGAAATGAAAATATTACCAACATTTTAGGAAGATATACAAGAAAACTGAAGAACCTGTTTAGCTCGTTAACTTATTTGTCGGAATGTTCATCAAGAGATAGATAGATGGACAGAGATGAAGGAAAAATGCAATAAGGTAAATATTACGCTAGTATGCACTTCATTAGCTAACCTGCACTTGGGTGGAGAAATAGGGGGGATAAAAAAGACAGGGCAGGAGAGATAAAACAAAAAGAATAAAAACTGCGAACACACACACGCCCAGACGACCGATGAAGCGACAGTCGATTACCTCCGTGCTCTAGCTCTCTTCAACGTTCTCTGCAGGTGGGGTAAACAGCCGTCCGGCTCATGACGTCAGTCTGAAGTACATGCCCATTGGTGCGGGCTTGTGTGCATCCAACTTCGAGGAGAAAATGACGCCGACTTCTGAAAGTTGTAACCGACAATAACCGTCTGTA